CGGCAATGGTGAGAGGAAGAAGAAACGGAAAGAAACAAGCAGAATAATAGCTGGCACTAGCACAGCTCATTTATACCTTAATCACGGAACGAACAAAAGTCCACCGCCAAACACAATTATCCCACATCTGACACGCAGCAAATACTGCAGTAGAAAGGACTGCGTAGCTTCCTTAACACTGGTTAACCACACAGCAACAATGACTACACGGAACACCGGAAGCGCCTGTACGCACAACGGAGGCATGGATAGGATGCATATCTCCACAGAGCTAAGCATCTGTTGATCAGATATTAGACGGACGTTCCTTGCTGCTACGCTTCCAAAGACACAATCAACAATCCAATTCTGCGCCGGCTTATTCTCCAATAAGCCTATGTGATAAACGGGAGTCTTTGCCCTACAAGACTGCTGACGGCTGTTTCAGGCCGCACGCTAAAAATTCTTCAGGCGCATCATCCGCAGTGAATTCCGCAACTCCATTTAGCTACGTATTGTAGCTAGATCGAGTGGCACGATCCTCGAGATTCCGTTTAGCTAGAATAAAGCCAGAGAACTGTCTTGCACTGCACTGAGAAACTACTTTCTGTAGAAACGCCAGCCCCAATTAACGGCCCTGCTATCTGTTGCTCTCCTCGGCGGCATGGGAAACACGTACTGCTATTGCCGACAAAGCAACAACACGAAGCGTCTGCGTCTCCGCTGTAGTTGCCGTTGTTGCCTCCGCACACCACTGAGCGCTAATGCGGGATATCCAAGGATACCTTCTCTCCCTATAGGGAATGGTTCGTTCAATGCCAACCTTACAAGGCAAATACGGAATATACCGCCATTTGTTCGCCATATCTCGCCTCGCCTGTCAATGCGCTTGTGTTACGCTTCCCTCCTCTTTGCTGGTGAGCGGTTAAGGGTACCCTGTTGCTCAAGAGCAAAAGGGAGATAGACATCAGAACGATCGGTACACCTTTCCATCAGCCACATCCAAGTAGGCGTTGCCTTTTACCCTCCTTGGCGTTCGTCCTTAGCGTCACCTTGGTTGCTTCTGACGTTCGTCAACAAACATTGTGAGTTTTAAGGCCGCCTGTTTCATCCTTGTTGCTGCTAAAGCCATTTGATTGAGCGCAGTAGCCGACTGCGCGTCCTCCTCAACATTCTTGAACTGTTCCAGCAGATTTTCAAATACTTGGATATCAACGGCAGGCACTTCAACATGCCAGTGTTGTTGTTTGGGCTGCTCCCCTGCTGCCATGCCTACTGCAGCAGTTGCTCTCTGCGCCAAGGTGGCACTCAATTGCATATCGAGTTCCAGGGAGGCGTTAAGCTGTGCATGCAGCCACATAAACTGCGCCTCGTTGAGGAAGGCCGCTGAAGTCTCAGCGGCCGTTCGCGATGCACGAAGCAGCTCCTCTATAAGGGCGTCTGAGCTGCTGCGTCTCTCCTGTGTCTGTTCTTTTGCATGTACAGGCTTGCGCATAGCTGCATGTACATTCTCAAACTGCTTCAGCATTGCGGAAATCATCTGGGCCACGTCGGTACTCCTGAGTCTCGGCAATTGAGACAGTTTGCTTCCCTCCGCCTGCTGACTCCACGGCAAAGTGGAATCGCCAGGCCGTTGCTCTTCCGCCGACTTTAGCATGCCCACTGCTCGCCCCCCTGCCGCTGCAGCCTCTCCGATGGCCCTGTAGGCCACCACTTTCAGGTGGCCCTGCATGGCTTCGCTTTGGGCGGCTTCCTCTTCGCTCAGGGCTCCCGGTATCGAACTCCTTCTGTTAGCGACGGCCTTCAGCAAGGCACTCAGGTTGTCCGCTATCGTTCTGGCTTGCTGCTCCAGATTGCTTGCGAAGAGGATGTCGTCTTCCTCTTCCATCCGCTCCATCATCTCCTTGTGCTTCTGAAGCTGCTGCTCGCATCTGTTCAGCTGGTCTTCAAGCCAGTCAAGGGCCTCTAAGACGCTGACGTCTTGTTGGGGGAGATTTTGTTGGCGCTGCCGCTCCAATATACACAGAATACGCAGTTCCCCTAGTCGCCCTGTTAGGTCGCGATGTATGGATGCGTGTCCCCGCTGGTATTGCATGTGTAGCACTGCTCCTGCATTGCCCTTGATGCTATCAGAACACTTGAATTCTATCTGCAGCGCATCACACGCTACTTTGAGCATTTCCAGATTTGCAGTAGCGGCCACAAGCAAATGCAGGTCCCCCGCGCCCTCTAGTCCCCGCAGACCCTTCAGCTCCGCCGCCGCTTTCTCCGCCTGCTGCACAAATATAGGGAAGGAAGACTTAAGGTTCTGCT